ATGTGGGGCGAGAGTAGAAAGGGAAGAGTAGCTATTAAAAGTGTTGTGTGAAATTTTTTAACAACATTTTTAAAGTTATCATTTTTAAATACTTAATAATATATTATTAAATAAAATTTATAATCGTGGATTATTATTTTATTTGATTTTAAAGTAGTGTATATTTCATTTTCATATAGGCGTGGATTTTTTTAAAAATATTTTTGAAATGACTTCATATAGGCGTGGATTTTTTAAAAAATATTTTTGAAATGACTTCATATAGGCGTGGATTTTTTAAAAAATATTTTTGAAATGACTTCATATAGGCGTGCATTTTTTAAAAAATATTTTTGAAATGACTTCATGATTTTTTAAAAAATATTTTTGAAATGACTTCATATAGGCGTGGATTTTTTAAAAAAAGTATTTTTGAAATGACTTCATATAGGCGTGGATTTTTTAAAAAATATTTTTGAAATGACTTCATATAGGCGTGGATTTTTTAAAAAAATATTTTTGAAATGACTTCATATAGGCGTGGATTTTTTAAAAAAATATTTTTGAAATGACTTCATATAGGCGTGGATTTTTTAAAAAAAAATATTTGTGAAATGACTTCATATCGGCGTGGATTTTTTAAAAAAATATTTGTGAAATGACTTCATATAGGCGTGGATTTTTTAAAAAATATTTGTGAAATGACTTCATATAGGCGTGGATTTTTTAAAAAATATTTTTGAAATGACTTCATATCGGCGTGGATTTTTTAAAAAATATTTGTGAAATGACTTCATATCGGCGTGGATTTTTTAAAAAATATTTGTGAAATGACTTCATATCGGCGTGGATTTTTTAAAAAATATTTTTGAAATGACTTCAAATAGGCGTGGATTTTTTAAAAAATATTTTTGAAATGACTTCATATCGGCGTGGATTTTTTAAAAAATATTTGTGAAATGACTTCATATCGGCGTGGATTTTTTAAAAAATATTTGTGAAATGACTTCATATCGGCGTGGATTTTTTAAAAAAATATTTTTGAAATGACTTCAAATAGGCGTGGATTTTTTAAAAAATATTTTTGAAATGACTTCAAATAGGCGTGGATTTTTTAAAAAATATTTTTGAAATGACTTCAAATAGGCGTGGATTTTTTAAAAAATATTTTTGAAATGACTTCAAATAGGCGTGGATTTTTTAAAAAATATTTGTGAAATGACTTCATATAGGCGTGGATTTTTTAAAAAATATTTTTGAAATGACTTCATATCGGCGTGGATTTTTTAAAAAATATTTGTGAAATGACTTCATATCGGCGTGGATTTTTTAAAAAATATTTGTGAAATGACTTCATATCGGCGTGGATTTTTTAAAAAAATATTTTTGAAATGACTTCAAATAGGCGTGGATTTTTTAAAAAATATTTTTGAAATGACTTCAAATAGGCGTAGATTTTTTAAAAAATATTTTTGAAATGACTACAAATAGGCGTGGATTTTTTAAAAAATATTTTTGAAATGACTTCAAATAGGCGTGGATTTTTTAAAAAATATTTTTGAAATGACTTCAAATAGGCGTGGATTTTTTAAAAAATATTTTTGAAATGACTTCAAATAGGCGTGGATTTTTTAAAAAATATTTTTGAAATGACTTCAAATAGGCGTGGATTTAAAAAAAATATTTTTGAAATGACTTTAAATAGGCGTGGATTTAAAAAAAATATTTTTGAAATGGCTTCAAATAGGCGTGGATTTAAAAAAAAATTGAAATGACTTCAAATAGGCGTGGATTTTTTAAAAAATATTTTTGAAATGACTTCAAATAGGCGTGGATTTAAAAAATATTTTTGAAATGACTTCAAATAGGCGTGGATTTAAAAAAAAAAATTGAAAAGACTTCAAATAGGCGTGGATTTTTTAAAAAATATTTTTTTCATTTTTATATAGGCGTGGATTTGTTAAATAATATTTTTGAAATGACTTCATAGAAGCGGGTATTTTTTAAAAAATATTTTTGAAATAACTTCATATAGGCGTGGATTTTTTAAAAAATATTTTTGAAATGACTTCATATAGGTGTGGATTTTTTAAAAAATATTTGTGAAATGACTTCATATAGGCGTGGATTTTTTAAAAAATATTTTTGAAATGACTTCATATCGGCGTGGATTTTTTAAAAAATATTTTTGAAATGACTTCATATCGGCGTGGATTTTTTAAAAAATATTTGTGAAATGACTTCATATCGGCGTGGATTTTTTAAAAAATATTTGTGAAATGACTTCATATCGGCGTGGATTTTTTAAAAAAATATGTTTGAAATGACTTCATATCGGCGTGGATTTTTTAAAAAAAATATTTGTGAAATGACTTCATATAGGCGTGGATTTTTTAAAAAAATATTTTTGAAATGACTTCAAATAGGCGTGGATTTAAAAAAAAAATTGAAATGACTTCAAATAGGCGTGGATTTTTTAAAAAAATATTTTTGAAATGACTTCAAATAGGCGTGGATTTTTTAAAAAATATTTTTGAAATGACTTCAAATAGGCGTGGATTTAAAAAAAAATTGAAATGACTTCAAATAGGCGTGGATTTTTTAAAAAAATATTTTTTTCATTTTCATATAGGCGTGGATTTGTTAAATAATATTTTTGAAATGACTTCATAGAAGCGGGTATTTTTTAAAAAATATTTTTGAAATAACTTCATATAGGCGTGGATTTTTTAAAAAATATTTTTGAAATGACTTCATATAGGCGTGGATTTTTTAAAAAATATTTTTGAAATGACTTCATATAGGCGTGGATTTTTAAAAAATATTTTCTTCATTTTCATATAGGCGTGGATTTTTTAAAAAATATTTTTGAAATGACTTCATATAGGCGTGGGTTTTTTAAAAAATATTTTTGAAATTACTTAATATAGGCGTGGATTTTTTAAAAAATATTTTTGAAATTACTTCATTTAGGCGTGGATTTTTTAAAAAATATTTTTGAAATGACTTCATATAGGTGTGGATTTTTTAAAAAATATTTGTGAAATGACTTCATATAGGCGTGGATTTTTTAAAAAATATTTTTGAAATGACTTCATATCGGCGTGGATTTTTTAAAAAATATTTGTGAAATGACTTCATATCGGCGTGGATTTTTTAAAAAATATTTGTGAAATGACTTCATATCGGCGTGGATTTTTTAAAAAAAATATGTTTGAAATGACTTCATATCGGCGTGGATTTTTTAAAAAAAAATATTTGTGAAATGACTTCATATAGGCGTGGATTTTTTAAAAAAATATTTTTGAAATGACTTCATATAGCCGTGGAATTTTTAAAAAATATTTTTGATGTGAATTCATATAGGCGTGGATTTTTTAAAAAATATTTTTGAAATGACTTCATATAGGCGTGGATTTCTAAAAAATATATTTTTGAAATGACTTCATATAGGCGTGGATTTTTAAAAAAAAAATATTTGTGAAATGACTTCATATCGGCGTGGATTTTTTAAAAAAATATTTGTGAAATGACTTCATATAGGCGTGGATTTTTTAAAAAATATTTGTGAAATGACTTCATATAGGCGTGGATTTTTTAAAAAATATTTTTGAAATGACTTCATATCGGCGTGGATTTTTTAAAAAATATTTGTGAAATGACTTCATATAGGCGTGGATTTCTAAAAAAATATTTTTGAAATGACTTCATATAGGCGTGGATTTCTCAAAAAATATTTTTGAAATGACTTCATATTGGCGTGGATTTCCAAAAAAATATTTTTGAAATGACTTCGTATAGGCGTGGATTTCTAAAAAAATATTTTTGAAATGACTTCATATAGGCGTGGATTTCTAAAAAAAATATTTTTGAAATGACTTAATATAGGCGTGGATTTCTAAAAAAAATATTTTTGAAACGACTTCATATAGGCGTGGATTATTTAAACAATATTTTTGAAACGACTTCATATAGGCGTGGATTATTTAAAAAATATTTTTGAAACGACTTCATATAGGCGTGGATTATTTAAAAAATATTTTTGAAACGACTTCATATAGGCGTTGATTTTTTAGAAAATATTTTTGAAATGACTTCATATAGGCGTGGATTTTTAAAAAAAAATATTTTTGAAATGACTTCATATAGGCGTGGATTTCTAAAAAATATTTTTGAAATGACTTCATATAGGCGTGAATTTCTAAAAAATATTATTAAAATGACTTCATATAGGCGTGGATTTCTAAAAAATATTTTTGAAATGACTTCATATAGGCGTGAATTTCTAAAAAATATTATTAAAATGACTTCATATAGGCGTGGATTTCTAAAAAATATTTTTGAAATGACTTCATATAGGCGTGAATTTCTAAAAAATATTATTAAAATGACTTCATATAGGCGTGGATTTCTAAAAAATATTTTTGAAATGACTTCATATAGGCGTGGATTTAAAAAATTCAAATTCGTTGCAAATGGTGGAGGGTATTCAGCTTTTTTACTTGTTACATATTTGTTTAGAGATTTTGTGGTCGTGAACATTTTTAAAGTATTTTTTTTTTTTTTGAGATTTTGGGGTTGTGGAGGTTGTGGGGTCGTGGAGTTTCCAAAAAGACATTTTAAAGATTTTGGGATCGTAGACGTTTTTAAATATTTGCTCGTGGAAATATTTTGGGGTCGTGAATTTTTTTTTAAATTTGGTTCTTTTTTTGGAAAATTCAAAAACAAAAAAATGAGAATTTGAAAACCCGACGATGTTTAAACGCTCTTTTTTTGAAAGACCCAATAATTATTTAAAAAATTTAAATTAATTTTTTTTTTTTAAATGTATTAAAGAAATATCGAATCAACGGCACTTCTCTTAGCTAAACCCAACCATTTAGGTCCCACAAGAAAAACAAAAATTCTGGCTAGAAAGCAATTCCACTCAAATTGTGGGAATATTTCAATTTCAAAACACACAGAAATGATGTGAAAACATCTTGTCGTCTATATCAGCGATAACGGCTGGGAAAAGCAAAACAGTTTTATATGAGATATCGTCGGAATAAGATGTGTTGAGCGGAAAGCACACCTAGAAAAAAACACAAATTTTGAAACAGCACAAAAATATACCAACAGCAACAACAAAAGAAAATATTTATAAAAATAACAACAAAGTCTTTCGCAATAGCAAATAAAATTTTGGAAAAATTATTGGAAATTTTGAAACCGTTTACAAAATCAAATCACAAAACGGCTTTCGGCAAAAAAGCTTATTCAGTTTTCCCATACCAAACAAAAAAAATTGGGGGGAAAACCAACGATTTGATATTTTATATAAAAAAAAATCTATTCAAATTTATGGCATTTTCAGTTACAAGTGAAAGTGTTAACCATTAAATGCCCACAGAAAAAAAAATCGATAAATAGAAAAAAATTTGAAACATATTTTTTTCTGAAAATTACCAAATTGAGATTAAATTAAAACCTTTTTGTGAAACCCAAGAGAAAAATCAACAACAACAACAAAGTTCTAGAGTACCAAACAAAGAAAATGTTAAATAATTTACATTCAAACTGTGAACAAGTGAAAAAAGCCAAGAAATTGTGAAAGCCAGTTATTTGAAAACAAAAAGATATTCAAAAAAAAAAAGACCCGTTACCAAGAGGAAATTTTTGTGCCATTAAAAAAAGCAAAGTGTTTACATTTTACACATTTTAAATACATTTTTATTAACAATCAAGAAAATAAATTAATTATTATCAATTACAACATCTGAAGTTGTCCTTATCTCTCTGTCTCTCTCGCTCCCGCACTCAATTGGAATTTGGAATATTCATTGACATTCAACAGGTGAGTTTGAAGCATCATCTCTTGGTTGTTGTCTTTCAACCAATTTAGTTTTAATTAAATTTGAGACCTAGTCTGCGTACTTGACATCTTTTTGCTGTTCACACATTTAAGTTTTTTTTTTATTTTTTATTCATTTTGTTTGATTTATAAATATTTTGAATTTTAACTGTCTTGACGCAATGTTAGTAGGAGAACGGTTATTTTATGACAATTAAATAAAGCACAAAAAGACCGATAAGAGAGGATTTTGTGATAGTTTACACTCAAGAAAATATGTTAGTTTAAAAGCATTTTTTTGCGAAACATTTTGGAAATTTGAAAAATTTGAGCTTTTTTGTGTTCAAAGGATTTATGAAATTTAGTACACCTATATAGAACCGCAGTCACGACCCAAATGGCGTACAAAAATATTACGATGCTCTAGATTTGGAAAAAAACTTGAAAACGCCCTTTACCATATACTTGATTCACGTTTATTTAAAATTGTTGCCCATTGTGGGAGAGGTACGCAAAGGACCGACATTAAAATTTTTTCAGTAACACCTAAGTTTAAAAAAAAAATATTTTTTTTTTTTTTAATTTTGACCTTTTGTTTTAGAAGGATAACAAAAATTGATACTAAACAAATATCTTGATTGGCGGATTTTAGATTAAATGCTGTAAACGGTCCTTTTAATATTTTAAAAATATTTTGACCATTTGCAGGTCGATGTAGATATTTGCCAAAAAGGACCCGATATATTTCACATCTTTACAAGATGTATTATTGGCAAAATTTTTAAGATTATTCATTTTCCGAATGTGTCACAAATGTTGCCATTTGTTTTATATTAGCTTTGTTTTTATTTTGAATTTCAACCTTTGTTGAGAAGGTATCAGAAAAAAAGTCTAAAAAATAAGTATTTTGCCACCGGTAGTGTCTTAAAAAAAAAAAAAACTTTAAAAGCCTCAAGCTCTTATAAGACCGAAAAAAAAATCTTAAAAATATCCATCTTAAATTCAAACAAAAAAGAGGACATAATTCTTAAATCCACGTTTGTTGAGCCTCAAGAAAAAATATTGAAAATATCCACATCCCTAGCTAAAATATGTAAAAGAATCAGGGTTTGTAGTCGCCCATGGGAAAGTGTTAAGAAACACATTAAAGAAACATATAAAAAATTTGTGGCTCTAAAAAAAACTCTTAATCTAGATTTAAAAAATTAAATCAAATTTTTGACTCCGAAAAAGAATTTATCTATTTGGCTCTGAAAATCTTCGCTAAAAACCCAAGTCTTTAACATCCTCAAAAATATTGGGTTGTTGGGAATATTGAGGGAATTTGACGCTAATTTCACATTTTATATGCGTTATGGTTATTCAAAATGTTGACCCTTTGTGGGGGAGGTACCAGAAGAAGTGATCCGTTCTATCCGTTCTTCATACCATATCTTGTGGTAGTGGAAATATTAAGATATGCGGAATTTAAAGACAATTGGACTTTTATTTCCAATTTTGTAAAAGTTATAATTATTTAAAATTCTGACCCTTCGTGGGACAGGTACTTTCTGAAGTGGGCCGATATTGACAATTTTTCCACATAGCACAGATACAAAAATTGGAATTCGGCGGATCCTTTCTCTTTTTATGAGGTAAATTACATTCTTTGAAAATTCTTCATACCATATCTTGTGGTAGTGGAAATATTAAGATATGCGGAATTTAAAGACAATTGGACTTTTATTTCCAATTTTATATAATCATTTAAAATTCTGACTGATACAAATATTGGAATTTGTAATGTTTGAAAAAATTCGGCGGATCCTTTCTCTTTTTATGAGGTAAATTAGGTACCAGAACGAGTGGAGCAATACTGTCCATCTCCGAACTCGATCTGAGTTCCATAGTAATGTTACGATGTACCAAGTTTGGAACAATTCAGATAGTTGGATATAAATAGGCAGCCAGAGAGACAGGCAGACGAATGGGCGGACACCGCTAAAACTGAACTGGGTTTGGTCCAAAGAGACGTAGGGCCTAAAATCGTTTTTTCAATGACTATCTGTATCCACATTTGTGATCCTGAAAAAAATTTAAAAATTCCCGGCTCTGAAACGCCCCCTGTTTTGTGGATTTGAAAAAATCTTTAAATTTTTAAATATTTTAAAAATTCTCTTTTTTTGGCTCCAAAACAATGAAAATCGACAATTTGTCGGCCTAGAAACATATGCATCCTTTTGTGACTGTGGAAAGAAGACTCAATCCTAGAATACAAAATTTCTGTCGCTTAAAATTCAACTTGGTGGCTCTGGTAGACCTAAAAATATATCTTTAAAATTCCACATTTTTGGCTCTAACAGTGATTTAAGGGAACAGAATGTTGGTTTATTAAAAACAGAATTGAAAAAAACCTTGTTTGTGGTCCTAACAATTTTTCAAAATACTCCTCAAAAATTCAAATTTGTAGGTCTAATGTCTTAAAAAAATCACGTTTCGGGGTTTTATATTTCTTCAGTAAAAAATTCTTAAAAAGCTTACATTTTTCCCCACACATCTCTAACGGTGATTTTGCACTTTAAGCTTCTTGCTAAATTTTTTCAATAGATTTTAGGATAATCGGTCTCTTTGTGTTCTAAGAGAGCTGGATGTGGCAATTTCAAAAGTAGCTCAAATAAAATTATTCAAAACGTTTTTTTTTTGTGACATCATGTAAAGAGAAACGAGATTCTTGACAGATTTTTGGGGCCAAAAATACATTGACCTTAAAAGTATCCCATTTTTTTTGTCTAAGATTCTGAGCCAATTTTTTTATTTTCTCCAGTTCCAATTTGATTGGAAGTGAAGTTTTTTTTATGTTGGAATTTTTAAGGAGATGTGAAATCTCCTTAAAAATTCCAACATAAAAAAAACTTCACCTTCATTGTCGTCACATTACGTAAAGCCCTTACAGATTTTTGATATTAGACGCTTCCAATGTAACCTAGACAATATGTTCTCTCTCCAAAAAAACTATAACTCCCCAGGGAATATGCTCTGCATATCCTTTTGGCTTCTTGTAAATAGAACACATGCCATATTTATTTATTTTTTCTTGCAAAAATTCTTGCCAACTATAAATAAATAAAAGAAGCTGGCAAGATAATTAGACCTCCTGCCGTGTAGTTGTAATCTCAATCATAACACGTGTCTCTAATGCAAGACAAGGTAGGGGTGGGGGCAGGGGAGGTGCTGGCATTGGAGGAAAAAAAGTAGGTTGCTGGCAATTACTTTTATTTATGCATAATCAAATTGCATTGTAATTAATTAGATGAGAGCGCGTTTCGAAGTTGTTGCTTCTCTTTTTTTTTTTTTTTTTTTGAAGAGAACATTATGGGGCAAAAGGGGGAGATTGGTGCAAGAGGATTACGTTTTAAATATCACCTTAAATGGCACAAAATTTAAACTTAAGTTACTTATTGTTACAAGATTTTCCGGGAAAGCCAAATTACAATCCTCAGCAAAGGGAGACCTTTTGTTGAAATTTTAGGAAAATTTTGGTTTCGAAAAAAAATTTGGAATTCAGGAAAATTTTCATTTATCTCTTCTGCTAATTAAGTGTTAAATGTTTCCCCCCAAAAAAAAAATTCCATATCATTTGCGTTTAGATATTCCAGCATGCCACACATGTCGGTTTGCCGGCATGCCTGCCATTCTTCCCTCTGCCATTGAAACGCCTTGCCTAATGACAATTAATTGTTTCCTGGCAATAAAGGCAGTGATTCGCTTAAATACCCAGTGATGACTTCCGCTTAAAAATTAATCAACTGTTGATTATTTTTTTTTTTTCGGGAAAAGAAGAAATTTCCATTGCCTCGGTTTATGGAAGGCACATATTTTCCCACAAGACATACATAAATACATACATATGTATATAAATCCATACACATGTACCCTAACAAACGTCATATGTGAAGCTATACACATAACTATTAGTAACACGTGCTTGGATACTCAATGTTATTGCAGGCTCAAGCCACCCACTCACATGCATTCTCCCTTCTATTTTTATGTGTGTATGTGTGTAATAACCCCCCTAACCTTTCGACAGACAAAACTCATTGAGAAAATGGTATAGAAGCCCAGCTGGATATGTGGTAAATGGACCCAGAAACAAAAACTAATTTTAAGCACGTGAAAATGGCAGAACAGCAGCAGCAGAATCGTAAATTCAGCAACTTCAATTCATTGAGAGTTCGTGTGTCACAATGCTGCAAAAATCCCACACACACACAGGACAACCACGCATTCTAAGGACATCATGTGTGTGTGTTGGTTGGTAAAAATAACACAACAAAACAAAAAAATCACAATGCCTTCCAGCCAGCGACCACCCATCATGGTCACAAGTTAGCAACAAGTAAAAGAAAAAATGGAAAAATTTTCATGGGAACTATAGCCGCATGATGAGCTGATGATGATGGCGGTGGTGGGAACTTTTGACTTTTGTTATTGACACATGACACTAATGTTGCGAACAATGTTTATGGGATTAGTTGAGGGTTTTTGGAAAAATAGGGGAAAATTGTAGGGGAAAACTCATTAATGAATTAATATGGAAAAAGAGAAAAAGGGGGAGAGTGAAGGACATTTTCAAGGGAAACCATACAGAATGAGATGAAAAAATTGCAACCAACTTCAGACTGCTGTCATTTCTAAGCCACTCGTCCGACAACTGTTAAAATTATTCCAGCGACAGCTCATTATATTGTTTGCAAGCGGACAAAAGCATTTTGGTGAGAATTTTCCAGAAAATAAGTTATTCGCGATGGAATTTAAGCGTGATAGTGTGATTTCTTTATATTTGGCTGGAAAAACACAAGTGGCTATCGTTAGAGCACTCCAGCATTTAAATGTAAATAAATCTTTTTGTCTCGACATCAACATCAGCAGAAATGACTCAAAAAGTAAAGAAGCGACTTGATCGAAACCCGTGTCGCAGTAGCCGAAAAATGGCTCGTGAGCTGAATATATCGTAATATTCC